CTTGCCCCATTACCCTGCCTCCAGCTGAGAGCAGGCCATTAGTTTACTCATAAACAGGTGCCACACTCCACCCGAGCAGCTAGAGATCAAGGCCATTTTCAGGCTGCAGCTCTGAGCGCGGCTTCCCGCACCCTGGGCCACCCACCACCTCGGTCTCCGCAGTCCTCCAGGCAGCTGTCTGTCCTTTGGAGGCGCCGCGGCATTTATTAAGACCTTGGGGGGCTGTGATGGAAACAGAATCCGGGAGCAGGCTTCCAGAACCGAGGAAGGCAGAGGAGCCCTGGTCAAGCCCTGCACACCAGCCGAGCCAGGGGCAGCCTGGAGACCCCTCATCCCAGCCCAGAAGCCGGTGCCCTCCCAAAGTTCAGGAAGCTCCCCTAACTCCCTACTTCTAGCCCATCCAATCTCAACTCTTCAGCCTTTCTCCCAGATATTGCCTCCCCACCAGTCAGAAGTGAAGGACAACTGTGCAGACGATCCTGATTATGAGCAGCTTCCCGTGTCACATGAGACCGTGACCCCTAGCCCACCACTTATTTTTGTATGGCCCACGGGCTAAGAATGGTTTTTATGTTCCTAAATGATTGAGAAAAGTAAAAGCAGCAGCCTGCACTGTGATATGTGAAAATGACATGAAAGTCAAATTTCAGTGTCCATAAGGTTTTATTGGAACGAGACACGCTCCTTTTGCACAGTCACTCGTTCGTCGGGTACGGAGTTGAGTAGTTGGGGGTGCTCACAGCTCCATGCTGCTTCGTGCGCTGCAGATCCCAAGGATGCCACACGTGTTCCCGGCTGTGTGAGAAGACACTTCCCAGCGGGAACTTCCTAACATCGTTACAGATCAGCAGTCGCAGATGAACACTTGCCACTGAACCTGAAGTAGATGGACTGCTACCCCCGCAAAGCACCGCATCTTCTCAGCAGTAGACCTGTATTTCGACATATGGGACTTGATTATTGTTATTTTCATTAATAAAAATTTTGGAGAGTTCTTTTCTCTCTTGTTTCTTTCATAATCTCTTAAGTTTTTGTCTCTTGGTCTGTAAAGCATAAAATGTTTGCTATCTGGTCCTTCATACGTGTTTCCTGACCTTCGACCCAGACCACTGAACTGCGCCAGAGGTGTCATTATTGTGTCCTCTCAACGCCACGTCCCAGGTCGTCTTATATCCACACAGAGCCTAAAACTCCTCTGCGGACCATAGGCAAAGGCCCTCCCCCCCCCCCGCCCCCACCCCCCTCCCCCGCCACAAGCCTTAAAACCCAGTCCTGCAGAGTTTCCCACCCCCAGGTTTGGACAAAATGTCTTTTTAAGTATCGGCAGCCCATCCCCCTCCCTTTGCCCTCACCCCTCAACCACATGCCCCCGGGATTTCTGGACTGGACTCCTGTCCCGCAGCCCGGGGCTCAGCCAAGCACAATTTCTTCATCCAGGATCAATTATTTTTTCTTCTTCTTACCTTAAAGAACAATAATGAATCACACTGTGAGCCCCACAGTCCTTTCTATTATTCCCCCGTCTGCCTTTGGATTTCCTCTTTGGTTGTGTAATTTGGCCTTTACAATATCCTTTCCATGCTAACAGAAAAGAAGCTCCCGGGAGGAGGGCGTGGCCTCCTGGGCCAGGAATGCCGAGCTCCCGAGCGCTGTTTCTCCCTCACCGTGGCCCCCATCCCTTGGAGCGTCAGTCACCAAGTCTTCACTGACGCCTTTTTCTCTCAAGAATGTCATGTATTTCCATGGGTATTCTGCTTTGAGGCGGACTGCCCTGATTCCCTTCCCCCCTACCTGCCGCATAACTTGGACGTTTAGACACTCTAGTCCAGGGCTGGGGGTTGGAGGTAGGCAGTTGGAGGGAGAGTGTGTGAACCAGGGGTTGAGGGACACCTTTGCTTTAGTTGACTTCCACAGTCTTTTTGCTCCAGCCTCACCTCCTCCAGGCAGGCTTCCTGGACTCTCCAACACACAGGAAGCCGCCTTCTTAGACCCGTTATTGGTGTTGGGGGCCCTGTCTTCAGGGCCATGCCACACTGTAGGAAGCTAATGAGTGCGATGTCCATCTCTAGCACCTACACGGCATTGGCCTCCTAGTGGATAACGAGCCCCTCCCTTCCCTCCCTCTCTCCAGCCCTCATTTCTTCTCAGGGGAAGAGAACCACAGAAGGGACCAGTGCCAGCCCGCAGAGGCTGACCAGGGAGACCCCCTTCCTGAGCCGGGTCCTGCCCTTCAGCAGTGGGACCAGGAGCCTCTTGCACCTCCCCTTCCGGGAGCTCCTGGCGCCGCTACCAGGAACTCCCTGCGCATCACAAATGAGCACTGGCAGGGTCTTTGTGTTGTCAGCGCCCTGCGGACGTTCCTTTTACTGCTGTGCCCATGAACTTCCAGGCTGCAGAAGAATGGAGTGTTGGGGACCTTGGTTCTAAATGGCCATCTGCTGCCCGGGGAGGCTGGCTCCTCCTCGGGACCCTGCACACCCAGTCCTTTGCCGCGTCTGCACCCGGAGCAGGCCTCCTATGGCGAAGGAGGGACCGGGAGGAGCGGGCAGTGACGTTATCAACGGAGATGGTGGGGTTGCAGGATCAATTAATTCTGGCAAATTTGGTGGCACCAGGATCTAGTGTGACAAAAGGCTTCAGGGAGGTGCATTTTAACTCTGCCTATGACCTCAACTCCCTGGTGACATTGTGGAGTCCCCTCCTCTCCCAGACTCAGGGTTCATTTCTGTACAGCAAGGCGCCAGCCTATCCTGAGTCTTCTGAGGCTATTGACCGCCTGACACTGTGTCCCTTCCCTTTGCCTCCCTCAGCCACCCCCACACCCAGCTCCCTGGCCAGGAGCACCTGGCTGCCTGCGGAAAGGGATTCCCCAGGAAAGGACCTGTGGGGGCTCCCGGGAGGCCCACATTTTCACTTCCCAGTTTTCCCAACTGCGCTCCCTCATGGTCCATCCTGGTCCGCAGTCCCCTACCCCCCGGCTTGGTGCAGCGGGTGAGAACTTAGCTGTGGCATCTGCCAGTCTGTGTCGGAATCCTGGCTGAACCTCACTAAATTATACAATCTCCCTCCCCAGGCCTCAGTTTTCTCTCCTATAAAGTGGACACAATAGTACTGATTACACTGGATTGTATTCAGGATTTGGTTCAATAGTCCTAACAGTGTCTGGAAACTGGCGACCCTGCAATGGCTGCTGTTGGCACCATCATTATTGTCACTGTTACCTACCACCTCCCCCCTGCTACTCCAGGGAAGAGAGCCCTCCAGGGTCCGGGGGGCAGCTTGGCATGGCCTGTGCAGGGGGTTGGGGGCCCTGCCTTGCACCCTCTGTGTGCGTATCCGAGGAGGGGGCTCCAACCAGAAAACCTCCCGCTTCCACGCACACTTCTCAGCATGCACTGTCAGGCACCCCCGTGTATTGCCCGTGCACACACTCGTGGGCTGTTGTGAGGACAGAAGAGCTCCCACTGCGGGCCCTCGGCCCAGCACCTGCCCACCGCCCTCCCTGAACCGGGGTCAGCGGTACTGCTGCTGTTGCCGTCGCCACCAGGTTAGCCATGTCTGAGGTTGCGCTGCGGCGTGATGATGTGCCAGCGTCAGAAGACCTGGGCAAACACTGGCTGGGACTTCAGGCAAGCTTCTCAGCCACCCGGAGCCTCGGTTTTCCCATCTGAAGAACGGGGGCAGGCCCACCCCTCCAAGGGGTCGCCAGGGGGCTCACAGCACAGCTGTGAGCTGGGCATGAGCTGCAGAGGCGGGCGGTGCCCAGGCCATAGCTTGTGTTCAGTGTAGATGGGCTCCTTCTGCGCACCCACCCCATGCCCACAAGCTCCCCTCTTTGCAGTGGGGGCCCTCGTCCTGTCCCCACCCCAGGGCGAGGCGGGGAAAAGCCTTGCACCCATCCTTTCTCTGCCTGATGTCCCCGCGCCATCAGCTCCAGGCTGCCCTTGGCGCCAGGTCGAGTCGGCCAGCAGCTCAGGGACAGGAGAACCCACAAGGAAGAGACACATGCGGTTATTTTTTTATTTGCTTTAATTAAAAAGAAAGTAAGAAAACAGAATATACTTCGCAGGGTATGCTGTGGCAGGAGAGCGCAGGCGTGTAAAATACATGCAAAAGCAAGGGCGATACCCCCGGACCCCTGGGCAGTGGGAGCTGGCGGAGGCCTTGCCTCTCAGATGGTCCCTCCTCCCGGGCTGTGCGGGAAGCGTGCCCGTCCAGCCTCGTTTCTCCTGGGAGACTCGGCCACCTCCCACTCACTGGTCCGTGACACGCACCCACGAAGCTGCTCTTCGTGAGGTTTTGAAGGTGGGTAGCCCTGAGGCGGGGGTGGGGGGCGCTTTGGGGGCTGGGGAAGCGATGCCCCTTTGTGGGAACAAGCTGGACACACTGTCCTGCAGGGGCACAGGTTCAGGTTCTCTCCCTGAGCGGCAGCAAAAGGGATGTTTGCAGGGAAGTTGGGGGCCACAGAACAGCTTGGATCAGGATGAGATGCGCCCGGGGCAGGCGCTAAATTTTGACGGACGGCCAGCAGGCCGTGGACGTGCAGGCCATAGTCACCTTTCGACGCCTCCATCCCTGCCTCCGTTGGCCCCAAACGTGGGGGCCACATAGGACTTGACTCCTGGCTCTGCCACTTAGTAGTTTCAGTGACTCTGGGAAAGTCACCTAAAGTTTCTCAAGCCCCGGTTTTCTCATCTGTTAAATGAGGAAGTGCATACGAACCCCACCAGGTCACTGTAGACAGGAAGGGGGGCCATGCCTTCAAAGAGCCTATTATGGCTCCCAGCGCATAGTAAGTGCTCAACAAATGTCCGTCATGGCTACTGTTAACCCAGCACCAGCATTTCCATTGCAAAGTTAGTGGGGGCATGGGCTCAGGTATGTAGGACAACAGAAAGTTTACATCATGTTCTAGAAACAAGATGGACTTCTCAGAGCCTCCTGCTGGGCAGCTCAGGGGGTGCCAGCCAGGGGGACCCTTGGCTCAGAAGGGCCCACTTTTAGACCTCAGTGCCCTCCCTAGGGTAGAGGACGTTGTTCGGGTTGGCGCCGTTGTAGAAAGGGGGGCTGAGCTGGTTGAGGATGGAGCCTCCATACCCGAGATTGTTGGTGGGCATGGGGTTGGCCCACTCACCCGCGGCCCCGGGGCTGCTGAGGTTGCTGAGCGGGGTGTAGGCGTTGAAGTTCATCAAGCCTTGCCCCATCTTGTCAGCAGGCTCAGGGCTCAGCCCTGGTGCGGCCACAGGGCGGCTCATGGGGCTGGGCCCGTTCACGTAGGCATTCATGGCGGAGAGGAAGTTGTTGAGGCAGGGGGTGCCCGGCGGGGCCTGGGCCAGCGGCTGCTCTGCGGAGCTGGCAGCACCTGGTGAGGTGCTATCCAAGACATCCTGGGCATCGGCGGTCTTGGGGCTGCCCGCCAGGAGACCGCCGTCCGCCTTCTCCGAGGCCGAGGAGCCCGCGCTGGCGGATGCGTCTGATTTTCTCTTCCTCTTCCTGCGGAAATTTCCATTGTCGAACATCTTTTCACAGTTGGGGTCCAGGGTCCAGTAGTTCCCTTTGCCTGGTGCAAAAGCGGGGAGAGGTAAGTGGAGAGACAGACAAAGTGCTTTGCTTTTGTTTCTCCTCATTGGAACCAATGAGAGCACAAGAGCTAAAAACAAAGGTAAGGGATCCAGAAAGAGAGAGAAAAGTCAGGGACTGAGAAAAGGAGAAAAGCCACGAACCAGCCCCACCCACACCCTGCCCATCTTTAAGCACCATCTCAACTGGGCACTCGGGGACCAGGAAGACAGAGAGGCAGCAGCCATGAGTGTAGGTCTCCTTAGAAGAAGTTTGAGTGGGGGGGGTGGCGGAGCGGGAAGGGGAACGGGGGGGGGGGGGGGGGGGGGGGGGGCAAGGCGCTCCCAGTGCCGAGGTGAAAGGAAACTCAGGACAACATCAGGGCTCCCTGAAAGTCTTGGGCATGGGGTCCAAAGACGGATTTGAGTCCCGGCTTTGCTCCTCACTGCCTGAGGGGGTCTCGGCCAGCCTCGGTTTCCCAGTCTGAGAAGTGGGCACGCTGGACTTGCCCCTACCCCTCAGGCTGACTGGAGAGGACAAACACTCGGTGTGTGCTGTGAGGTCCGATGCGGAGCTAAGGCCTGACCTCTACCTGCCCCTCTCTGTCTCTCAGCCTGAGGGGGAGGCCAACTAGGGACGAGGAGGGACAGAGTCCTGCCCTGGCTGGCCTCAGGGCAAGCGGAGCTGGGTCCCTCTGCACCAGACCCTGGCTTCGCCTGCGGGAACCGCAATGGACTTCAATTCTGCAAAGTGGAGACAGGAGTGCGTATGACTCTGTGCGTTTCCCTATCGTAGAAACGCACCCTTAGAAAGGAAAAGGTCCACAGCCAGGCGTTCGAGAGACCTCGGCTCGGACCACATTCCAGCAACCCCTGGTTCCCGCCTCACCCGAGGCGGGCTGCGCCCTCCCCCACCGCCCGCGCTGGGCCCGTTCCCGCCGCCCTGTGGTTTTCCTTATCTGGGGAATGGGTTTCCCGCCAGCTTCCCTGCAGCGGCGCATTGAACGGGGGGATGCAACTACCGCCCAGCGGCGCAAAGTGGTCCTGAGTGTCTGTTCAACAAACAGCCCCTCCCTTCCCTGGGTCCCCCTTGGGCTTTTAGTCCAAACTCTCCTCCCGCAGGACTTCCTATGGGCTGTGCGCCGCCGGGGACTTGGATTAATCCTGGTCATCGCTGCCGACCTCGGGGCACTTGTGAGTGCCGACCCTCGCACGCCCTATCTGGGGGCCCCGGCCGCCAGTCTCTGGAGGAGGCACTGAGAGCGTCCCTATTTTTCCAGGCGGGCAAACTGAGGCTCAGCCAGGATAGAAACCCCGATCTGCCTCCCCAACCCGTGCTCTCCTTCACGGCTGACGCCCCTCAGTTTCCCCCTCCCCCGCCCCCCCCCCCACCGGTTTCGGGAGGCACAATCCCCTTCAGAACTTTCTAGAACGGGTGGCAGGAATGAAGGGAGGCTCCCGGGGGTGCCCCTGAGGCTCGCTGAGGAAGAGCCCCCCCCACGCCCTCCGCCCCGCGTCCCCGGCAGCCTCACCTGGGTCGTCCTCGTCGCGCGGCACCTTCTTGAAGCAGTCGTTGAGCGACAGGTTGTGGCGGATGGAGTTCTGCCAGCCAGCCTTGCTCTTGTTGTAGAAGGGGAAGTTGTCGGCCACGTACTGGTAGATCTGGCTGAGGGTGAGGCGCTTCTCAGGAGCCCCGTGGATGGCCATGGCGATGAGCGCCGAGTAGGAATAGGGGGGGCGCACCAGCTTCATCAGCTCCTCCTGCGACGGGATGGGCAGCCAGCCCAGGTCGCCGGCCCCCACGCCGGACATGGCGGGAAGCAGCTGCCTCTGGACCCCGTAGGCCTGGGGTAAGAAGGGGCCGGCGTTGGGGCCCGGCAGGTAGGGCTGCGGGGCCATGGCCTGCCCGTTGAACCAGAGGTAGGGGTTCGGGGTGGCCCCGAAGTCGCCGCCACTCTCAAAGGACGGGGTCCGCTGAGGGCTGGATACGCCCTGAGTGTGGAAGAAGTTGTCATAGTAGAGGTTCATCTCGGGGGTCTCCTGGCTGGCGGCGGGGAACTGAGGGCTGCTGTGCGGAGGCGAGGGAACCGGGAGGTCGAAGGAGCTCATGGTGGGTCCGGGCTCAGCGAAGACACCTGCCTGGTGGCACCTGCGCAGGGAAGCTGTCCCTGCAGGTGCTCGGCAGGACCCAGCCTCCCACTTATACCCCTGAGGGCCGGCCGGCTGGCCCCACCCAGGGGCGGCCCCCAGCGCCCAGAGACCCGCCCCTCCGTCCTCCAGCGGCCACCGTGCCCACGGGTCGGGAGCCCTCCTGCTGGCCACATCAGGCCCCACTAATGACACGCTCAGACCTGCAGTGTAGCAGACGTTGCCTCTCTCCCTCTCGCGTCCCGTTCTCTGTCCTCACTGCCGCTCCCCTTTCTCGTCCACTTTGCCCCTTTTCCCTCCTCCGGGCTGTCCCATGTTTCTTTCTCTCGTTCCCCTGCTCTCCTCCCCCTCTCTTTCCACCCTTTCGGCCTCCCTTTTCTCTCTCTCCTGCCCTGCTCCGTGCTACACTGTTTCTCCTTCTTCCTTCCCCCGTCTCCCGCGACTCTGTCCTCGGCACGGCCCCGCCCCCGCCCGTGCGGAGTCCGAGGAGTGAGTTTCCAGCGCCTCCGCCCCGCGGGCCGCTTCACTTACTTCCTGGCCGTCTCTGCCCCTCTCCTGCCTCCTTTCCGCCCCGTCCCTCTCTCTAGCTTGCATTTTCTCTGTGTCTCTTTCCCCATCCCTCTGACCCCACCTGCTTTCCCACCAGACCCCTCAGTCTCGGCCCCTCACCCACGCCGGATGACACACCCCTGTCAGGAGCCATATTTGGGGGGCTTTTGAAGGGAAGACACATTTTCTGGAGTGTCCAGGAAAGAACCTGGTTCTGGACAATCAGGGGAGCAGGGAGGGGAAGGGCTGCCAGTTTCGTGGATGGCCTCCTGCCACACCCACACAGGGACAGGCATGTGTGCACACAGCCACAACCTGCACACGGGTGTGCGCACACGCACACACACGCGCGCGCGCACGCGCATGCTGCAGGCAGGCAGGGGGTGGGCTGCGGACAGGTCTGGGGCTGTTCCACAGGAGCAGCAGGGCTCATAAAAGTAACAAGAGGAAAGGAACGTGAGCTGGACGTCAGGGGCCGATGGGCGAAATCCGCACTGTCCCAGCTCCTTTCTGGCTGCAGGGTCCAGATGTCCAAGCTCCTTTCTGGCTGCAGGGTCCAAGCAGGCTCTCCTTCCTTATCTGATCAAAACCCTTTCATGTTCCAGCTTGCAGATGCCCCTGGCAGCCAGGCCAGGAGGCGCACCCTCCACCCCTGAGCAACGGCCCCCCTCTCTCCCTCCTGGGCCCATCTCTGCCTCAGGCTCTAGAAGCAGGGCTCCAGCCTCTTGCTCCTCTGTCTCTGTGGCCAGGCCCTCCCCTCTTCGGGCTCCCTCGGACATGACCTTTCCCACTTTGCCCCTCATCCCAGGGCAGGCACTCAGCTTGGGGATGGGCAGGGGTCTCCCTTCTCAGAGAGTAGGCAGCTGTCTCCTGACCAGGTGGAGGAGCCTTCTGAGGCTTCTCTCCGGGGTCAGCAGGTTGGAAGAACGCCCCTGCCAGCCACTCTAGTCATTGTTCTTGCAGCTCTACTTCCTTCTCTTATTCTACTTCCTCTCACTTCCTCCAGACCCCCTGTGCCTTGGAGACCGAAGGAGGCCACTGGTCGCGGCCGGAGGGGCCTCCCAGGGATCCTCCCCGGCCCGACTCTGCTGCGTCAGATGAGGGACAAGCCACAGCATCTGGGAATGAAGCTCCTTGGCAGCCTGGTGGCCCCAGAGGGCGATCCGGGGAGCTGGGTGCGAGGGGTCCTCCCAGACCCTGAGGAAGCCCCTGTCCCCACCATGGAACAGTTCACGAGTGACTCTGACAGGGCCCGATTTCACATTCTTTCCCAAGAGTAAAGCAAAGAGGCCACATTATTGTTTACAGGGTCTCCACGAGGCCTGGCTCGCTGCTGTCTTTTTAAAGAACAGCTACCTGGGAAGCCACCAATACAGACCAAAGCCTTCCCCTCCGCTTCCGGCCATTCATCCTGCAGAACTGAACAGCGACGCATTGGCTGCAGGGCAGCTCTCCCCAGTACTACTTATAGCGCTACCAAATTTGAACTAACCTGAATGTCCAACACCAGGGGATTGGTTAAATAAATGTCCTGTCATCCAAGTGACGAAATAGTATGCAGCAATGAAAAATAGGTTGTAGACTATTTAGTGATATGGAGAGATGTTATGTTCTAATAATATTACTCAGAGACACAGGCTGCAAGATACTGTAATTGGCAAGGTGGTGGGTGAAGTACGTATGTTCATGCATGTGTATGAAATCTGAAAATAAATATAACGAACTGTCAATGATAATCTCTGCATGGAGAACTGGATGTGGTTTTTGGCATCATTGTCTTTCTATAGTTTCTGATTTAAGAAGAGAAAAGCAGGTAATTTGCTTTTGGGATTCAATGCAAAAGGCCAGCAAGAGGCAATGTAGTGGAGATACAGAGACCCGGATTCAAATCCCAGCTTTGCTTCTGAATAACTGCCAACCTTCTCACCTGATTTAAGTTTTCTCAGGTGCAAGTGGGAATGACACCACTTGGCTCACTGATGGCTGCAAATGTTCACTGAGGGAACCGGTGTCCCCAACATAAATCATTTCACACGGAGCACAGAGGTGCGCTCAGCAGCTATTGGTTGTTGTGGAAGAGTCAATACACCTTTGATACATATCACTGCCCCTGCGTTTGCGATGTTCCTTGTCCCCTTCAGCAGCCGGCAGGCAGGGGAGATGGGGGAGGTGAGGGTCACAGTGAAGGAGGGCAGCAGGGGGGTCACTGGGTACCGACGCCGATGGGACAGCCTGGCCTTGCCATCAGCAGCTGATGGTCAGAGAGGCTGCGAGTCCCATGACGAGTCCACAGCTGGTCTGGGCCGGGGCCTGGCTTCCAACCCCTGTTCCGCCCGTGCCGATCCTTGGGGTGTCCTTCCTTAGAAGTGTGTTTGGAGGAGTGCTTGCCCGCGTCTCCCTGGGCCCTGGGTTTTCCCGTGGCGGTCGGGCCGGCCTCCGGAGGCCCAGCCATGTTTCTGAGCTCACAAGCCTCAGGTTGCTCATCTCCTGCTGCTCGTGGACGGCTTGTGGTTTCTGCGGGGAGAAGTGATGTGATGTGGAAAATGGAGAGCCCACGCAACGGATGGCGAGGATGACCAGGATGCACACTGGGCCCCAGGGGACGGGAACTGGCAGGGAGGCTGCTTTCGAGCACAGGTTTTACCAGGTGCTTTTACCTTGGGGGTCTCCTTTTATTTGGGGCAATATCTGGGGAGCGAGGACAGACCTGCCCCTCTTTTGGGTGCTCAGCAGGCAGCTTGGGGTCCTGGCGCCCACCTGGGGGAACGCCCAGGCCTCCCCCGTCCAGGCTGCGTTCAGCCAGGGCCCCCACTGCTGGCCTCGACTCTCGGGGGGTGGAGGATTGTGTGGGGAAACGGGTGGGGGGGGGACAAGGAGCCAGAGACAGGAAGCCCACGGGTCTGAATTGGCTGCCGCTGCACCGCAGGGCCGTGTGGGGAGCAGACAGCTGATTCTCAATCCTCATTCTGCTTCTCAATATGGCACAAGAACACCTCAGAGGGCAGCCAGGTGTGCTGGGCTTCAGTCTCCTCATCTGTAAAATGGGGACATGCCTTCTGAGTGTTGCTTTGAGGACTGAGTACCAGGCATTAGCACGTGCTCAGCGGTGAGAATGGGATTCCCGTGAGGAGCTCAGGAGCCTGAGGGTGGCCCCCCGCTGGGGTGGCCTCCTCCCCAGGCTCCTGGACCTTTCCTGCCCCCCCTCCCCCGCCCCGTTCTCCTTTCCACAGGAGCTTGGCTTCTTGGGTTCTTCTCCTTTCCACACATAAAACATGGATACCTGCTGAGCACCAGGGTTTCCAAGAGCCTGATGGGGTGGGAATGGGCCGGGATAGGGAATCAGGGGACTTGGGCCCCGTCGGCTTCTAGCTTAAACTCTCTGTGTGACAGTTTCCTTACCTGTAAAAGAGGGATAAAAAATCACAGGCTTTCTAGCTATTGCCTACAGATGTTTCTCTGTGCAGTGAGCCTCCTGTCCCACCGGGAGACAGGGCTCAGGAGGGCTGTCTCAGTACTTTGGGGACGGCCACGGGGCTGGCTTCCCCATCACCAAGTGTGAGCTTTGGCGAAGTTTGGCCCCACTGGTACATCTGGGTTGCTTTTTGGCTTCTGGGTGACCTGGTGGCTGGAGAAACGTAGACCAATTGCGCTCTCTGGTGGCCATCTATTTAAAAGCAGGGAGCAGCACGGAGAGCCTGCGGTGACTGAGGTTCAGGGCTGGCCGAGGGTTTCTGAGCCCCTGTAAAAGGCCGGTTCCCAGGACGAACTGCAGCTTCAAGGAGCAGGTGCACCCCTAAAGAGAGACACCCCAGCTCCACGGCGCTGGAGATGGTGGACACTGGATTGAAGATGAAGTGAAATGTCTTAAAAAGCGGCAGCAGCCCTGATCTGGATTCGAATGCGACTCTTCCAGTTAAATTTTCTTTCTTCCTCTTCCTTTTTTTTCTTTTTTAAAGATTTTATTTATTTTATTTTTAGAGAGAAGGGAAAGGAGAGAAAGTAGGCGGAGAAACATCAATACGTGGTTGCCTCTCGCGTGCTGGCTACTGGGGACCTGGCTCACAACCCAGGCCTGTGCCCTGGCTGGGAACCACCCTGGCAACCCCCTGGGTCACAGGCCGGCGCTCAGTCCACTGAGCCACACCAGCCGGGGCCAGTTACATTTTCTGAGTGCCTTGGTGGTGTTTAATCCTGAGCCTCTGTTTGCTCACCGGTAAAATGAGGGTCGAACCAGGGTCACCTCCTTCAAAGGACTGTTGCAAAGACCTAAGGAGACAGTAGAGTAAATGCTCTGAAGTGATGCTGAGCAATAATTCCTTCTGCGATTGATTCAGCAAATGCTAGTTGTTGTCACAGTGGCAGTAGTTCCAGGCCGTGCAGGGCAGGGACAGCCACAGGTGTTGAGGCTCACA